ACACAACGACGACGACGACGACGACAATGCCGGATAAAATTGTTCCCTTAATATACCTTTCCCTTCCATCTTTGATGGTACGGGCAAGGTAAAAAGGGCATCATAACGCCATAGATCCACAGCTTAGAGCATCAGCTAAAGATTAAAATCGTATGATAAAATATTGTTAAATTACTAATAATCAATGATATCAGAAGTTTTTTTTTTTTTTTTTATTTCTATAAACTCACCAGGATGATCAAAGTTGAAAAGTCCTTTGTCAGCTTTCAGCTTTTCAGCCTCTGTCAGATTTCGGTAAAAACTTTCTTGACTGATAGAAGCCACTTGTCGCTGTTTTTTATCTAATACTTCATACTGACCAAGTTCTTCCATAATCTTGGCACACACTGAAGACTACAGAATCAAAAAAATAGATCATTTTGATTAATTGACAAATTTCACGCAATTAACATTTTATCGTCATAATGATTCATCATGAACTGTTGTGAGCTTAAATCATGTGTATTTGTATGATGTCACATTTTTCAGAAGATTGAGTAATTTAAAAAAAAAAAATAAACTAAAAAAACACAAAAACATGCTAACCATAAATCACAAATCTCAATTTTTCATACATATCTCAATATGTCATGCAGTAAAGGTATGTATTACTATCACTGGTACATGTATATAAATAATTTTACTATTTTAATATTGAGTGGGCAAATTTCCAGGTAAAAAAAAAGTCCTTAATTTTTTTTTTTAAATTCACGTGGATGTAATTTAGCGAATTTTCACTTATCCGAGAAAATAACAAAATTAAAGCCCATTGAAAAAAAGGATGGTCAAAGGATCAACAGATATGGGCATATGCTGACAAGCACCTCTTTTGCACATATTCAGTAAACGTTTGACTCCTCAAAATTATCAATCTGTTTTATTTATAAACAAAATAAACTATGCTACAAATTGAATTCAGATTTTCCATGGATGCAGTTTAAGGTTAAGTTGTAAATAATTAAAAAAAAAAATTAAAATGGCAGCTTAAAAAACCTTTCAACCAATCACAGCAACTTTCATTTTGACATCACTGGTGTGGATAAAATAATTGTCAAATGGTCAAAGTGTCACCTAATCAGCAATAAGTCTTGTGCATCATTTATTTGCAGGTGATGTTAGGGCGTAGGCCCATCCCTATTTTTTGCCAATTTTCCATGTTCAGAACCTTACCTTCTGGCCTTACCCAACAACTACAGTAATTTTTTTCTGAGCACAGTATAATGATCCCATATTTTTATTTCATTTTCTTCACCCTTGTAACATAAAATGTTACATATGTAAAACTAAAGAAAATTACCACCATTCTACCTTTAAAGTTGCATCATCAACAAAACTTATTTGAAAGCCCCATCAGTTGGCCAAAAAAAAAAAAAAAAAATCAAACCTGACAGTTCTCTTGAGTTAATAACTGTTCAAAACTGCATTGCACTGTTTATTTAACTTTAGGCCAGACTTTTTTTATTCCTTGTTTCTCGAGTTTTTATAAGTAAATTATTTTGAGGGCGAAAAAAAAAAAAATTCTTTTTTTTCCCCCCTATAAGATTTGTGTGATTCTCAAAGAATTGCGAGTGAGATCATTGATCGGAGAGAAGAAATGAAATAAAATGTTATTCCGTGTATAACCTTGGTTGGCAATGTCGCCAATTGGGGCACAATTTTCAGCATTAATGAGGGATTTCTCGGTTTTTGACGAGAGTTACACGGCATGTCACCACAAACCACACCGCCATCAACCAATGCGCATAAAGTATAGACCTGCGCGAGACTTCGGTTACTTTGATCATGATACTCCTATGAAAATGCAACTTGGATTTGTTAAACAGCGGGCGAAAAAAAAATGAAGATAAAAATAATTTTTTTTTAGCAATTTATTGCACACTCACAAGTCGGCGGGCACGAGAAATTACGCTGAAATAAAATGTTATTTTTATTTCATTTTCGACTTCTGTTGATTCAGCGGGTTCGCGAAACAAGGGATAATAAAAGTCTGGCCATACTATAATAAATCCCAGCAAAAATTTATGCTTGAATTTTGCTTTGGGTTTGCATGAAAAAAAAACAGGAAGTACACAATGCTTGAACACAGTGTTAACATAAAAAGCTGTCATATAAATTTCAAAGTGATGGACGTAACAGCTACATACACAACTCAAAAAGTATGTTGTGCATCTTAGACTATAAAATGTTTTGCATTGATTTAAATTTTGTAATACAGTCCATCTTTCGGTGA